ACATATAAGAAAATAAGAAACTGAGAAATGATCATCTGCAGCAAAAAGTTTAGAAAAGCATATGGCTCAGCTTTGATAACTCTTTAAATGAAACTGCTCTTGTTATAATAGTCCTAATGACATGTTCTTACTGATAGCCTTGACTCCTGCGTGACTGCTGCAAATGCCTAACTTTTTTGTGTGTGAAGTTTTATTAAATAATTTGTGTTACGATTGGAATGCTTCCATGGATCAGATTTAGCAATGGATGTTGGGCATTGGTGATTAATAAGCTTTTGGTTATCAGCAAGTTCAGAAATCTACCTTACATGAGGGGAAAGTAATTCTAATAAGCTTTCTCAAACTTTTGTCTCTGAGATCAAAGCAAAGAACTCATTTACCTGCTTTGCAGCTGTACTGAATGTTGCACTGTGCTTCTCTGATTTTTTTTTTTAAATTTTTTTTTCTCCTCCACTCCAGTTGTGGAAGAATGAGTAATGCTACCAAAATTTATGTCTGCTTCAGCGTGCTTGGTTTAATGGGGACTTCATCTTTTTAATATTTTTACGAAGGCTTGTTGTGGGCTTGAAAGCCATTTAATGCTAAAAATTGGCAAGAGCTATGAAAAGAAACTGAGGCACCCACCTCTTGGCTGTCTGGCTCTTGTGTGTGGAGTGTGTGCAGAGCTTTGCTGTGAAGTGCATAGACTCCTTGTGTGCAGGCTTCGGGTACCTTGGCGTGGCAGTTAGCTGTGTTTAGTGTGCAGAGCTGTGATCTGGACAGAGCTTGTGAATACGAAGTCCAGAGTCATCCTAGGCACTTCGGTGAACTGCACCTATTCAGCACTGGTCTCTGTCTGCAGACAGGGGTCAGTCGTCACCCCTGACAGGCTAATCCCTGCAACTGTCTTCAAGAGCTTTACAGATTCAGGGTAGAGGTGGTGCATCTCTTCTTCACCCAATACACCCCCCCACCTCCCAATAAAAGGGTGGGGTTTGTGTTTTGCACTTAGGGACTGATTTAATACCTTCTTTGCCTTGACTGGATTCAAATTTGTATCCCTTGCGCAGTGCAGGAACTCTCCTTAAGACTTGGTTGCTTGGGCCAGTACTTGCTTGACAGAGACAATGGGCAGAGAAGGGAATGGAGGACAAACAATCTAAGGTGTATTTTATGCCAAAATAGAACCTGAGGAAATATTCTTGGCGGAGGGTCCAAAGCCTGGTACTCCCTGGCTGCGTTCCTTCTTGTAAGTGTATGCCTCTATCCTGGAGTTCTCAGACTACGTGTGTGTTAAATACTAACTGAAAAAAGTTTGTAGGATTGTCTGTTGTTTCTCCCTCCAACACTATTAATCAGGCAGAATTGCTGTTTGTCCTCTGCTCCAAGGCATAATGATGACATTTCATACACTCCAAATAAAATGTAGATGAACAGAACAGCAATGAGTTTGACTCAAATCTGCTCAATAAAGCTTTAAATTCTACTAGCTCATAAGTAATAGAAAAAATAACTAAGTTACACATTCTCCTGTACAAGAAAGACAGGGTGTTAACTAGATTGAGTCCAGCAAAGCTCATAAGTAATAGAAAAAATAACTAAGTAAGTTACACATTCTCCTGTACCAGAAAGACAGGGTGTTAACTAGAGTGAGTCCAGCAACGGGCCAGTATGATGATTAAGCCTCTTTCATATGAGGAGAGGGTGAGAGAGCTGGGACTGTTCAGTATGGGAAAAGAAAAGGCTCAGTGAGGAATTTATTAATGTTTATAAACACCTGATGTTAAGATGTAAAGAAGACAGAACCAGGCTCTTCTCAGTGGTGCCCTATGGCAGGACAAGGAGCAAGGGGCACAAACTGAAACACAGGAAACTGCATCTGAACTCAAAACTCTTGTTGTGAGGGAGGATGAATACTGGAATAGGTTGCCCAGAGAGGTTTAGTTGAGAGATGCCTTCCCAACTCAACTGTTCTGTGATTCAGGCTATTGCTTTAAGACTTTTTAATAAATATGGATATGCCAACTACTCAAAAGCTGAGAGATGAAGTTTGTATTTATCTTTAGCCACTTAAAAATCTGTATAAGGAGTTAGATAAAACATATTAACAGTAACTATGAGGACTTGAATGTATGACCTCACTGAAATCACCTATTTTAAAATGTTTGGCTGATAAAATACATTATCTGGCCAATGCTTTTGAATGTGTTGGACTACTATTGAGTCAAACAGCAATGCTCTGCTGTATCAGTTTTAATTGGGTTAAAGATGTCACCAGCTTGGTCTTGTAGATTGCTGTAGTGCTGTGTGAGAAAACAGGTTTAATCATGCTTACTGAACTTGAATTAGGTGATAATAGCTCCTGGTACTTGTACAAAGGGGGCATTTGTTTAACTTGCTTTACTCACCAACTGCAAAGCTGTTGTGGAGTTGAAACTGCCTGTTACTTCCATAAGTGGCTGCTATGATGTCCTCTTGTCTTCTGCTGTGAAGTATAACCTGGGTGTTGCATGTTGCTTAGCAGCACAGTTCTTGTGAAGGGCGGGGGGTTGGAAGGATATTCTGATCCTTTCAACATAAGGTTTTCTTAAGCTGACTCGGAGTCTCTTTGAAGAGTAATGACACATTGTTTTCAGTGTGATGTTCTACATTAGCCTTCAGTTCACTGTATTATGAATAAAAGTATACTTGTGTTGATATTCCTGTCCTTCACACTTCTCAATTTTAAAAATCTGTGTTCAGAGCTTTCTGCTGTAAATGAGTAACTTAAGAAAATGTATTTGTAGGGCAGGCTTTCATCTTTACAGGGAGTCTTTATCAACAGAGAAATGATGCAAGTCTGTGCAGTGTCTTCCTGTCGCCGAGTTCTGAGGGTCATTCCTACTGAGCAGCATATATTACGAAATATTGAGCAGAACTGCCACTAAGCTGAACCTTCGTAGCTCAAGATGGACCTTAAGCAGTGATCCTAACTACTATAGAGTGCATGATACCCTTTACTCACAGTTCTGTAAGATTCTTTTAAAGCTATTAAATAAGAAAATGCTAACACTGGGCTCAAATGTACAAAAACCTCTTCATTATCCAGGTGAATATTGCACCTTACAGCCAGAACATGGTTTTAAACCCATTAATTTTTCAGCTTTTTTTACATACATCATGAGATTCTTACCTGCATATGGGCAGTTAACACTGAGGAATGTCGTTCCTGGCTCTGTCCTGTAATCCATCCACTTCCATTATACAGCTGCCAGGCTGGGCATTGTTCCATTTTGTGTGTAAATAGCACTCCAAATACAAATCCAGTACTTAGAGCTTAGCTCTTGTGCCTGAGAGAGTCTGATATTGTACCTTTCCAGCCTACAGAATTTTATGAGACAGTAGGAAAAAAATGGAGGATTCCAGGCTATATTAAAATTTCACTAATGTGCTAGGAAATCTGTTCTGAACTTAGCGTCCCTCATGCAAGAGACAGAAGACAGTTATCTTATTCCTTTAGCTTACCCTCAGGGCAAATTTATGCTAGAGAACTTTGTTACAGGCTTTGTGGTTTTTTTTGTTTTTGTTTTTGTTTTTTTTTTTAAAGTCAGAAAAGCAGCTGGATAATATACAGGCAAAACTGTATCTTCCCTTGACTTCTTCAAGGTAAACTTCTACTGTGAACTTAATGCAAGAAACTGCAATTGAAATACAATTGCATAAAAACCCCAATGTATTTATCACAAACTTAGATTTCAGCATGCAAATGCACAATCAAGGGACAAGTATTTGTGAAAATGACTATTCAGGTGATTAAGAAAGAAAGAAACTGCTTTAAAGAACTTGGGGTTTTTTCTGTATATATTTTTGGGACTTCAGAAAAAATACTCAGTAATTTACATAGCTGATATTATAATGTTTAAAGAAAAATGCAAACTACCGAAAAGGCTACTGAAGTTTGACACCCATCAATCTTTATTCATACTGGCCCGATTACTTTTTAAAACACCATTAAGAAGACACACACTGCCATCTAGTGAGCATCTCTACCACAGCTGCAGTTTGCTGCAGTTTGAGCTCTCAGGAGAGGAAAATGTGTTGCTTGGAGCAAGTAACTTAATACAGTACAAAACATTTACAGACTTAAAAATGCTGCACTGAATGCTTTGTCAATTATATATAATAGAGATACACAGAGCAAAGCTAAAGTATTTTATTAATAATTTATTGTCAGTAAGAAAGACTGGCTAATGGTAATTTTCAGTAAAAACCTTTACAAGACCATTGGATCACAAATATACAGACACTATAAAAACTGTGTCATGGTGGTTTTGGTTCTAAACTGGTATGTAGAGGGTCCCCAACACACTTTCCAAGAAGGGAAAAAATGTTTAAAGTTCTAAAATACAGCAACCCATTTAAGACATTTCCATGTAGCTGACCGAGAAAAATATCAGACCTAACCTATGTACAACTGGAACTGTGTGAATATGTTGAATTTTTTTATAATGAAATGTCAAACCTTAGTTTTTGGGGGAATACATACAGTGACGCCCTGATTGTAATAAGTCAGGGTGCTAGCTTTTAACGGCACACTAACACCACTAGTTTCAGTGGAAAACAAATTCACAAAATATCTACAAAATCTAGTTAAAACTATTAAAATCAAAACTGTACATAAAATTTACAAAAGTAGGAGAAAATTAATTGCATTAGAACTATATAAATATATGCATCATGCTAACATGGAGAAGTGGTATGTGATTTTTTTTTTTAACATAGACAATGTAAGTACAAAAAGGATGCTCAGAAATGGCACAGCCAATGGGAATCTTGGAACTGTACAATTACAGTAGGTCAGGAAATGGAAATAGGCTGATTTAGTGAAATGAACTGCATGATCCAATACTGCCATGCCAGTTTAGCTCACCGAAACAGAAGCATTCACTGTGACTGGGAAAAAGAAAAAAAAAAAAAAGCTCTTGAAAGTTGTTCTAGAATTGATAAAGTTTGTTAGAGTCCAGGCACTTTTGTTGAGTGTGTCAGACTTCTGTATGTTGCTGGGAGTCAAGTGGAGGAATTTTCAGATCTTCAAAATGACCATCGTCTCCACTCTCATAGTCGCTCATCATGACTTCAGACTCCATTTCACAGCATGCTGACACATCAGAGCATGAAGCTGTGGAAGCATACACAGACATGGACATGTTGTCTACAGCGGGTGCTTCAAAGTCTCTATTGTACCCTAACGTGTAAGGAGCATAAGGTTCTCTGTAACTGCCGTTGACACCACTGGTTGTGGTCTGAGGTTCTGACATGTCTGCAGGATAGTGATGGGGAAGGTACTGATTAAGGTTAAATCTCTGCCTGCTTCTTGTAGAAGAACCCAAGCTACCTATGGCTGGCATGTCTCTGGGTGGCTGTATTGACTCCAACTGGTCGCTGTATTCTGGTGGTAATGGTGGAAGCTCATCAGATGCAGGGAAGTCATCAGGTGGAGGTGGAAAATCACTTTCTATGTCATAACCGCCAGGGTAATAGTCTGTATCGAGGGCATTTGGATCAGTGTAGAGGGGAGCTGACTCCTCAACCACTTCGTAATTTGGATACTCTTGGATACCTGGCAACTGAACGCTTGGCATCCAGTCTGATGTATCCCAGTGATAACCTGAAAAGTTAATTTTTTAAAAAAAAAAGTAGTATTAGTATCTTGTCTTCAAGTCAGTCTGAACTGAGAAGTCAACACATGTATTAAGACAATGCAGTCGCTGTGATTAGGACACTACTTGTTAATTAGAGAGCAGTTTGCCCCGGTTCCACAAAGACATTCAACACAACTTTACATTATGCCATGCATTAGATATTGCGTCATTCACACTTGAACTTTACATTTTCTCAGACATCTCACCTAACATGGGAGGAGCTGTAGGTCACCTATGGAATGTGCTGTCACAATACATAATGGTATGGAATTGTTCACTGGATAGCAAAGAACCAACAGCCTCCCTGGTGCAGCTAAATTCTTTATCTATTGTTGTTGAGTAATTACAGTTAGGGTGATTACAGCTGCCTGTTTTTCTTAAGAATATATTTAGCATATATAAACCATGCTTTTCATACATAAAAGAAGTAATTTCTAATTGGTAAAGTATCTAGACCATTTAAAGCGACTTTACCCCTTAACTGAATTGTTAATTTCACAAAATGCCGATAGCTCCTCAATAACTGCCACACCTCCGATAAAAATCTTTGACTATTAGTAAAGACATTCCACATTCAAATACAAGAACAAAACAGGAAAATCAAGCTTAATCATGCATAAATGACCGAACTTGATCCTCTCTTGCAAACTCCCCTTGAGTAAGTTTGTATTTGTCTGCTGGAAACTAGATGTAAGCCTAATCTCATTAAAAAATAATTGTTTTTCTCATCTGAACACCAAAAAGGAAAATAATACAGAATTGTAATAAGGTGCAAATCTAGTAAAGAGTAATCACTGCACAGACAAATGCACAGCAAGCAACTGAGAGTAAGTCTGTGTTAAAACCAAGGATTAACAGAAATATTTTGGTGAACATCAATGAACTGCATGCAGAAGTCACCTCTTGAATTGCTGAGGTCAGGAACAGCAAAAGATTCTTTAGGTGGCAGAATGAGAAGAAAAAGGAGAAAACATCTGTAGTTAGGAATCAAATAGTAGAACCGATGTGAAGACAAACAATGACTGTCACTATGATGTTCATGCTGCTTTTGTCCAGTTTACTTAGCAGTAGTAAAGTTGGCTTTTTTTTTTTCTCCTGGGCTCCTTCTTTGTTAGACTTGAACTGTAGAATAGCTACTGAGTTAATGTACAGCACACCTGAGACATGGCTGTGTAGTGGCAAAATCTGCAGTCTGTAGTTTGCCGAAATCCTCGTATCAGTAGATTTAGGACTTCTGCTAAAAAGGGTAACAAGACTTGGTCTGATATTTTTCTTCCCTTGTATCCCCCCTTGTTTTTCGATACAGGGCTGCATCTATTAGGACTTACACTTTCAAGTATCTCATGTAAACATGGGAACTCTCTCTCCCTTTAGTATCTAGCTTCCATACACTGTGCACTGGGAGACCTGCCTCCCTTTGTACAGCAATCCCAACAACTCATGCTCAGCAGAGAATGTCCTGTGTTATCTGACAAATTTTAAACCTTTCTCTCTTCAGGAATCTATATTCCCTATTCAGGTCTGTAAGGATGGGTGACGCCTATCTTACTACCAGAATCTTCTCCTAAGAATTGATACTTTTATCTATTCTTGGAAGACTGGAGGGACAGGGCGGGGGGAAGGGGTTTCCTTCTTTTTTTTTTTTTTAAGCTTGCCTAGCCCAGACGAGAAAAATACTGTCCACACTAAAGGAGGTATCAGTCCGAGATCTGAGACTCTTTAAACATCTCTGGCCTCATCTCCAGGAGAAGGTTCTGACCAGTAGTCGTCTTAGACGACGTTCTTAATTTTTCTAGGGAAACTGGGTGCAAAACTAAAGGCAATATGATGTAGAGCACTTTTACCGAGGAATGTGGAGACCTCGGTCCTGTCCTCTTCTTCTGAGGCAAAGGCCCTTGTGCCCATTTTTCTAGGTGACAATCTGCTAGACTGGAGCTGTATTTCCTCTTGCACTCAGCATTGTTGATTTGCACGGAGCTACAACCTTCCCTGAGGAGCAGTGCAGAGAATGCAGGCCTACAACTGTCCTAGGATGAGACTAGCTACAGTTTGTGCTTCCAGGATACCTGTTGGACAGAACCACTTGGGGACACTAAAGGAAAAGACCTTCTGTCCCAGAACTTGACCTTGCCGAAGGCTTGAGCAAGGATCTCTGCTGCTCGAACTGGCACCCTCCTGAGGGTGGCTCAAAAGCAGAACTCTTCACCTAAGATGCTTTGAAAGAAGGAATGCTTATTAAGAGTAGGAACTTCCAAGTGTTAAGAAGTAGCTGAGCAGGACATCTTTAATCTCTCTATGAATATTCTGCAATGCATAAAATATTTGTATTTATCTTACAGTCGTACTAAACCACCAAGCAATACTCTCAACTTTGACCTGAGAACTACATCCATCATTTTAGTTTCTACCAATTAAAATCTCAAAGAAAATCTGAATAAGTTATTTAATATTTCCCCTGATAGATTTTTTTTTGCCTCTTCTAGTCTTATAATTCTCCCTTTCATAAGTACTGTGCATTACAGTTTTTTAGCACTGAGGACCTTAGACAAACAAAGTCTACTTTTTTTGTGTGTCTGCATACATTAGGATGTACTTCAAATAACAAACCAAAGAGAATCTTCAGCTACTGTAATTAATTTTGTGTTCTTAAAATGGCTTCATTTTAAGTAGGACTTAATAAAAAAGTAGGGTTTCCTAGTCTGTGTTAAGAAATAGGAAACATACACTGTGGATGTTCTTTCAGAAGTAACCTTTGCAGACTCATGGTCATGGAATGAATTACTTTCATATTACTGGAACTTTAAGGATTTTTAAGTCAATTAAAACAATAGTTAGCATTTGTATAGACTCACTGGCACCTTTATTACTACTCTTATTTTGTAAAGAGTTTTTGTTTTCTAGAGTGGTCAGTTCTTAAATGTTAGCAGAAAAGAAATAAAATTCCATTGAAAATGCCTACTTCACCTCTTCCTAATTTCCAAATACACACACAAATATATATGTGTGTACATACATACACTCATACCTTTTAGATACTGATGTAAGGCTGGGTAGTAAGTAACTACTTAAACTGATAGGGATATGTATGCCTGTATACCTCAACTGCATACTAGAAATCTGTTTTTTCTGCTAACGAGACAGATTGATCTGAAGACCAGGGAAGTGAGTACTGGTATCAGACTACTCCCATTCTGCTCAGCTGGACAAGGTGCCAAGAGATGTGGGTGGGAGAAGAAAAGGAAGCGGGGGCTGCTGCTTTTTCATCCACAGTAGTGTATGTAATTGCCTTTGATGCTGTCTCAATTCTGCTGGGAGCTTTAGTGTGAATATTTTCTGAAGAGAGTAAGCACCCAGATCTTTTTATGCCAATACTTTTTTTTTTCCAAGAAATCACACTTTGAAACCTGTCCACAGGGTAGCTACAGCATACACATGTAAATATGAACAGATACACAATATAAATATATTCTTTGCTAAAACTTATCAGAAAGTCCAAGTAAATAATATTTTATAACTGCCATCTGCTAGGGCTACATTACTAGAAGACAAACGTGCATTATTCTGCCAAAGCAGTAAATAAATATGAAAACATTTATATACCTTCTTTTTCCACCGAGTCAACAACAGCATTGACAAGGTGTATTACCGTCACTACGGAAGCTTGTAAAAGGTATAAAAGGAGCAAATTAAAACAAACCTATAGTTAGTATCACTTTAAACAGCATACAAAAAAACACTGGAAAATTGCAGTTCATTACTATTTTATAGAGCAAGATTATTGGTGTACATATACATTTACTCTCTATCGAGAAAGCAGTTGCATATAATACATAAAATACATCTCTAAACCTGAATTTTATTCTTGATAAACATGGAAAAGTACTTGTAACTACCCCGAAGCAAATTCTGCAGGAGCACAAAGCTACTTTTTAGTTGTGTTAGAATTTCTAAAATGTTGCCTAAACATACCATTTGCATAATACCTCATCTAGAGAGCAATAAACTAGGCTTTTCTAAAGGCTTGTGTTAGGTGAATTAAGGAGCATTGCATTAGGCTTCCCCCTTTTAGACTGCAAACTACATTCCTCCCCCCTCCCTCTGCAATGGAAGACCAGGGGAAGAAATTTTCACTGAAATGAACTAAAATGCTAGAATATGAAAAATATCTACTGAAAACTTCTGTGGCTGACCTACTTAAGTTGTGTGTGAACACTAGTATCACAGTAGGAATACAAAATTCAGGTTGTGACATTCTTATTTAAAAACAACCAAAATGAATGTATTTTTTATGTCTTCCCTTTCCCAAGATGCTTTTGGAAGGGAAAAGGATTTACTCTATAGGGTAGGATGAGGTAAGCACATGCAATTTGTTTGCATGGCTCAGGGATTAAATTTCAAAGCAATAAATCCAGAATCTACCAAAAAGGAAGGAAGGAACAATATCTATAATGCTACAGCTATTTCTCTTAAAAAGATGTATTAATGAGTAATCGATACCGGACAAGAAATGTGAGTAAGAATATATGAAGTATGTGGGATGGAGAGGAGGGGAGAACAACATGTACTGCACAACACTTAATACCACAGGAAAAAAGTTGGAAGTTGGTATCAGGTCTACTGATAAAATGATGAGTACTGTAAGCATACCATTTTACTTTCACCAATCATTAACACAGATGTTTCTTTTCATGCTGTTAAGAACAAATCACTCTACTTCGTTGAGAAGCAGAACGTTCTTTATTCCTAAGCTAAAGGAATTTCAAATTCTTTTTACCATACACAGACAAAAGCAGAAATTGGAATAAAGAGTCAAAACACCTTAGCTTAGTGAATTAAGTTATGAGACAACTGTGGCTTTGTCCAATCAGTCTGAAATGTTTCTGAATACATAGATGCATTCATATCAACTGTAAAAGCATCTGTCATCACAATGGAGAAGTAAAAGACTTCCAATTAGTAATAATAAAACCCACAAATATGTATGCTGAGTATATTTTGATGGACTGGAGTTGTGATCAAAATATTTGTATTTTTATTTTTATATTGGCTTTTTTCAATTTATGAATTTTTTTTATGAATTCATTTTAATCATGGTGAAAGCCAAATATACTGTTCTACTATAACAAAATTCCTTTTTGTACAGCTTCCTTCATTACTAAAGTAATCAAACTTACAAGCAGTCCCTTAAACTCTGCTCTCACTCAGAACTGATCTGATCCATATGGGAGCTGAGGTCGCAGCAAGAAAAAGAGAAGGAAACAAATGAAACTGTAACACCAGAAAGCTTTTTACTGAGAGCTGAACGTCAAAGCGAAAGTTGTATTTGCGCGGAGGCCATTTTTTAAATTCACTGTATTGTTGTATAAGGTGATAACTAGTGATTACCTAGAAGAGTTTCTCAAATTTGAACTCGCTTTTAACACCTTTTAAACACAACGCTCTGAACACCTTGTGCTGCATTTTTCACTGTTAATATTCTAACAGCAGAATAATTTATATATAGTTTTAAGGTAAAGTAATTAACACGAGGTGTAAGATAGGCAAAATACTTTAAAAATTAACATATCTGGGTATTAACTTAAGTAAATACAGATATATATTAAATAAGCTATTATTTAATATATATTCGATATATGTAAGTCCTACTGATACTAAGAGATATAGATGCAAAGACGGAACAAATGAATGTAAGCGGCAGTACAGAACGGTTGTATTTTACGTACCGTTGTCATCACATGATTCAGACTGGAAGGAGCTGAGAGACTGGACCTCAGACATGCTTTCTCTAGCACTATAAGGATGGGAGTTCTTTTCATCCAGAGGCTTTTTTGAAAGGCAGGGGTCAAGATCTACTACTTTAGCTGAAAGAAAAAGTTTCAAGTGAGATAAATTCTAGATTAAAGAGTCAATAAAATTTAAGGCCAAGATCTACACATTTTTACAAAACTTAATAGAGCACAAAGCCCGATCAGACTCAAAACCAAAGGCATAATGCCTTTTGTACCCTAACAGGCATAGACAGAGACTTTGTGCTCATGTTAAAATTGTACCAGCACTTAAGTACTTTCTGTACTTAACAGAAACGTAATAAAATAAGAACATTTCTTACTGTCATAGTCAAAATCCCAGCTGGGTTTCTGTATTGAATCACTGTCTGAAGGAGAGTTGGAGGGAGGTGGAGGTGGCAAATTTGGTGCTACACTGCAAACAGCTACAGCTTTCCGGTGACCATGTACAGAATCTGGGTTAAAAGTACTAAACTCTGGGTGCTCAGGGATAGCAGATCCCTCAAAAGAATTCCTGTCCAGATTGTTCCTGGAGTCGCTTGGAATGCTTGGAGTGTACGAAATGGGACGAACAGGAACCTGTGGTGGGATGTCAGAATAGATGTTCTTATTCAATTTTGCATCAAAATAAGGTCTTTGCAAGAAAGCTGTGTTAGCCCCCAGTTGCTTGTCTTCAGGTTCTGGCTGGTGCTTCTTCTTTCTACTAATCACTTTGCGGCAAACAACAAAAATCACAACTAACAAGAATATTCCTGCGATGAAAACAATAATCCCAATCACTTCAGCTAAGCTAATGTTCCAAGATGTTGAAACATATTTGTTAAGAACAATGTCTGTGCAGTGTTTTCCTCCAAATCCACGGCTACAATTGCAGTGATATGAACCATAAGTATTCTCACAAAGGGCACCATTCAGACATGGGTTTTCTATGCATTCATCAACATCAGTCAGGCACCTACCAGAAGCAGAGCAGAGAAACAATGGTTAGTTTACATCAGTAGTCTTTGTTGTAGTCTCCTTGTTCTCAACTCTAGATATATTTAATATACAGTACTGTACACTACCAGACAATTTGCCATTTTATCAACATTCCAGATTTCAACCACTTTGAACTGTTAACTTTTACGTAATACTGTTAAAAATTCAATATATGTGGAACACTACCTACCTTTCTCCACGAAAGCCTGCTTCACACTCACAAACAGGTCCATCCAAACTGTCGATACACTTGCCACTGTTTTTACAAGGATTGTCTTTGCAATATGGACCCAGCTGGCACCTGCAAAGGCAAAAGAAAAAAAAGGGGGGAAAAAAAGCATGAATGAACCATTACCTTATTGCAAGTGAGTATATAGTGTGGGATTCAGAGCTGTAACATAGGGGCTGGCATTAATTTCAACTAACTCCAGTGGGTTTCAAAGCAGGAAACAGATAAAAGAAAAAGTGTTACATTTATAGCCTATTCTGTAAGGGGTTCATTGGTACAATAAACCATACAAATATACCTTTGGCCTGTGTATTGTCCTCGGCACTGGCAGATAAAATCATCACTGACCGGGATGCAAGTACCACCATAAAGGCAGGGGTTGGAAGCACACGGGTTGACGCTTACATCACAGTGAGTTCCCATAAACAAAGGTGCACACTTGCAGTAGTAACCTGAAATCAAATACAGTCTTTTTGAAAGACACACAGGGCTTTACTGGATTTAAGATAAAATCCTCCCTGCCCACCTACCTGTTCAAAGAAATAGAAATATTTTTATCGAAAGATGAAGGAAAGTCTTAACAGTAAGGCTTTTCTTGAATATGATTGAAGGGTAACTTCCATTTCTCTTACAGAACTCAAGCTTGTCACGATGATTTCAGAATTTTTAAAGGAAGACTCTAAAGTAGGCAGTTAAGAGGACAGACCTCAGGTGTTGACACTGAAGATTAAATGCCCACTTGTCCGATGGACTTTGTTTACTTCATATCCTAAGGAGTTGAGTCTAGAACACAGGCAGACACAGCCTTCCTACCTGCTCAACAACCAGCCTTCTACAACTCTCTGGGAAAGCAAGAATTATTCACAAAGTTCTTTTGTGCAGGGCAGGGAAGTGGAAAAGCAGTTTTGAAAACTAACAGCAGAAGAATATAGCACAGCTTACCTCCATTTGACAGTGCATTGCAGATGCCTCCATTCTGACATGGGCTGCTTGAACAACCTTCTGTGGTAGTCAGTAGGCATCCAGGAGTCACGTCTACAGATTCTTCCATGTGTGCATAATTTCGTGGCTTACTGTTTAGGGGCAGCTCTTGTCCATTAAGTACAACAGAATCCATACAGCCTCTGAAACCATTGCTAACCTGAGGACTTCTACCATGTCTTGTACCTTGCTGCCGAATATGACCACCAAAAAACACGTGATTATCTAGGTTTAGTGTTCTAAGTGTACCAGGAGCAGTACCAGACGCAGTATGCACCCTATCCAGAACAAGTCGTGCGTAATTTCCGTCCACTTCAAGAGATACTGAATGCCACTGGCCATCGTTAATCTGAATGCTCTGAACGGAGACAATCCCAGGTCCACTGCCACAATCAAATTTATATTGCAGCCTTCCATGGTGAATCTACAGAGGAAAAGCCATAACATCAACAAATGGTCTGCACACTTACACAGTATAAAATATTGATGCCTGTAAGAGTTTACGTTTGCTGGAGAGACAGGATGATGGTGGTGTTCATAAAAGGCAGTTTAATAACATTGTATTCCAAACAGTGGCAGTGACTGTGAGTCATTCTACATGGTTCTTTTAATTAAAATGTATACTTTGTACATTTTTTCCTCTAGTAAAGAAGTCACAGATCATCATCAAAAGATTACAATACTTCAAGACCTTTCATGTTGTGCTTTAAGTGACTTTTTCTGTATGGACTTAATGAGTATTACAAGCAAATAAATTTAAAGTTGTTATTCAAAATAGATAATTTTTATTTTTAAAACATTAAAGAAAACAAATTCCTTTTACACATTAAAAAAATGCTGTACAAGTTTATCACCTAGATGTGTAACACACTCTACCTTGAAGGCAATTCTCAGTTATAAGAATTCTACAGAGATGTTATGATTCAATCTTTTAATTTGGCACAAAAAATAGTAAGAAAATGGTAAGAAGAAAAGAGCAGGAGATATGCGCTAGGAGATTTTAATATACCTCTAAGATACTGTAGTCTGTTCCTCGAGCATACATAACAACTGCATGAGCAGAGTAAGTTCTAAGTCTCATCGTCAGCTTCATTTCCTCTTTGTTCTCATTTTCCATGAGACGGTATTTCACATAGCTGCTCCCAGTAAATGTCACAGCAGAGCCAGCTGATGCTTAGGAATACAGAAAAGCATAAAATGTGTTAACACAGGACTAGAATCAAATTTATATTTGGAAGGTAATGTGGTTTTACGCAGAGATTTTTAGAGTTAATTTCTTACCAGGACACTGTCCAGCTTTGCTGTCTTGGCAAACACAGGTGTATTTTCCTTCCTTTGGATCTCCTAAACATTCGGTACCTTCTGGGCATGGGTTTCCTTCACACACACTATTCACCAGGGGGCATTTCCCTTCTGTAAAACAAGATACATTATTTCTCTTCTCTTCTCTTGGTGGTAATGGTATTTTGTGAAAAGGGACACTTAAGTACAATAGCTGAAAGCAACCCAAATGATATTCCTATCAGACAAGGAAGTGAAGTAACAGTTACGGGACACGACTGGCACAAACACAGACTACACAAATAGCATATATAGTGGCTGATGTTCATACTTATCTTGATTACTCAAACAATTCAACTGGTAAAATTTGGAAACTGGTGTTGTGGTTTAAGGTTTACCATTACTCTCATACATCATAAAAAACAACATGTAGATATTAAACATGGACAGAGTGGGTTGGGAGAGCAGGAGAAGAATGTGTCTGTATTTGAGACAGAAAAGGAACGGGCTTTAAATATTTACTTAAGATGCGCAATTTCACCCAGCAATGTTAAGTCATGATTTTAAAAAGCAATGTTGTTTTCCTCAGAGCTAAAGACAAATTAATCTTCTGTTATAAATCTGTATACTTATATATATCTTAATGAATATTCATTTCCCAGTTCACCTGTCATTCGCAGCCAAGTTTGGAAGCTGTGTGGGCTATTCCTCTAAGCAGAAACCAGGAAGTATTCAGGTACTTTGCAGGAACTTACCTTCGTGCATACAAGACTGAAAATGGCTGGCAATTTAGAACAGGCAACAAAAAAAGGAACTTCTTTCATGAAATGGAAAATAAAGGTGTAACTATAAAAAAAAAAAAATCCCCTCTCATATTATGTAAACTCTTAAAATGAGGTAATGAGACAAGAAAGAATTACTCCTTACTCTGAATAAAATTAAGCAAATGTTGCAGTGAGGGTTACATTCTTAATCTTGTCCTGTAATGTAAATTTTCCCCTGTGGATTATGGCTGTTCAAAACCAGAACAATCTTTTCAAGTAGACTGTTTTCCTTACTGCTTTTCTTACCTTTACAAAGACAAACTGCTGTTCTGTGATGACGGGGAGTGACAAAACTCAACCTGGCTGTGCTGTGGGTTGACATGATGTTTTCATCCACTGTTACTTTTTCTTCACAAAATTTCAAAGGACAATCTAGGCCTGCGCAAAGCTTATGGAAAACATCAATTATCCGGACACCTAAAATCTCCTCTAGGTCAGGCACAGAAGAGTTTATCTTGTGGAGCAAAATTCTCATTGGGTGCTGAGAGCTACCAGACTTTTCAATACTCAGGAGGACATCAAGATTTGAAGGAGGATCAGAAGGCTGCAAACTAACAATCTGGATGTCATTTCTCCTCACGCCCAAGATGTTTCTTAAAGCTCTCTGGAAATTGCGCCAGTAATCACCGATGAATTCTTCAGGGGCAAGGTTTGCAAAGCGTATTGCAATGCTGTGATTTAATAAATCTTGTGTGATTTGTCTGATGTGTACAGTAATATCAGCTGCAGTTGTAAATTTTCCATCTGTAACAGTGACATTTAGGAGGTACTGTCCTATGTCTAACCTTTTATGTGCTATTAGTTTGCCACCAGTACTGGAAACGGAGAACAAGGATTCCATTTTGGGGTCCAGACTGTATGTCAGAGTATCATAAACATCTTGATCGGTTGCATGAATTTTTCCAATGACACCACCTGAATATTCTTCCCCAAAGGCTGTGATAAAGATTTCTAGAGGCAGAATTGCTGGAGAATAAATGCTTTCCTCAATAACTCTAATATCAATGTAAGTCAAAGATGACAACGGTGGTTTTCCATTATCTGCCACCTAAAGGAAGATGAGGATAGAGTTAGATTTTTGCTTTATCTCAAATTCTACTGTAGATACTTGTACTGTATACTGTAGAGTTGTATTTTTCTACAAAAAAAAAAGTTCCTACAGGAAAATGCTTTATGAAAATTTCATAACACAGGGCCTGACATAAAATTTAATACTGAAAATTTTAAAAGCTTATATAAGCAGACCCACACAAACATGTTTTCACTTCTTCCGAGATTAAAAGGCTACAGTGCTCTTAATACCTGGAAACGCTAGGAAGCTACTAACACTTCTAGCAAATACAGAGGAAATGCACAGTAGCTGATTTCAGACAGCAGATGGTGCTTGAAGCTTTTTTATTTCAAGCATGGAAACACATTACCAACTTGAAATGAGTCATGCACTAGAAATTTACAACATGCTTCACCACAGTTATTGGGAGGTGGTCTTAAAGACAATCTAAATGCAGTATGCCAAACAGTACTTCAAAAGGAAAACAATACATGTAGAAAGTTACAATTAATTATGTTGTCTTTCATGATTTGTGATCATTGAGAGGAAAAAAAAAAAATCACCTGTAGTGCTATTTGTTTCAGACAATTAAAGTAATTATCTTTAACTGAATCAGCCTAATTCAATTTTAAAGTCTTTTTAAACATCACATCCCCTGTCCTCCACCCTTTTGTGACAAAAGCATATGCTGTCTTGTATGAAGAGGGGACAAAAAGAAAGTAGAAAAGAGCATTCCCTCGGGTTCACTTTCTTTCTTTCTATTTCTCTGTTCTTGTCTCCTGTCTACCTTTTTCCCAGAGCTCTTTCCCGCTTACTGAAAGTGAGACTAAAGAAATGGGCAAAGAAGGTTTGGAGAGATGTGAAGGGACACAGAGGATACACAGGGCTCAGAAGGTAGAAGATACCTTGCACTGTTCAGAAGATTTTACAATAATTTTACAATGACTACAGGTAGTTGGTACACTTTAAAGATCTATGCAGAGAAGCTGCTTTTGATTTTTCATGCAAATTTAAGCAAAAGAGGAAAAACTCCAGGCACAAGATTACCTGTGGATGTGCACATAATCATAGCATTTTTAAAAGGTAATGCATGTCTCATAGAACTACATGCCTTCATCCGTTAACTCCAAAAGACAGGCATGGCTAGAAACTGCCCTCTAGTTACCCAGACATAAATAACGACAGAGAGAGAGACAGAGCTCAAGTTGGCAAAGTTTTGCTTTGCCTAGATTTCTGCCTGGAAACAAGACAAGGCAGGCAGTTTAGCTGCAGGAGAAATGCCCAAGGGAAACAAGAAAGGGCTTAAAACAAACAGGCAAGCAAAATTATAACAAATGGACAGCAAGTAGGAAAGAAGAGCCCCAGGGGAAATGATTTTTCAATAGTGCAGATATTTAAAAATCTGCTGTGGTTTTAAACTAAAGATTTCAGAGTGTGGCACAAAGGACTGTATGACTCATAGCTGAAGATTTCACATACTAATGCTGTGAGACATTTGTTAATGGATAATCTATCTCCTTTGGAGAGACGGAAAGCAAATGTGAGTGGCATGCACATGTAGGTGGCTGTTGGGAAAAAAATCCTTATTTCTATTAAACCCCCAAAAGTAAAGTAAAAGAAAGGCTCATGTTAAGTGAAGTTTGTTGGTGGTAGTGGGTGTGTGGGGCGTGTATCGAAGGGATTGTTTGTGGGGTTTTGGTATTTCTGTTTGTGGTTCCCCCTCCCCCCC